ATCTTTCATTTTCTGTGTACAATGGCTCTTTTTTTCTGGCTGACTTCAAGATTTTATCTTTGGTTCTGCAGCAGTTTGACTAGGATTTATCTAGATGTGTTTTTCTTTGCATTTATTCCATGGGGTTTTGCAGAGCTTCTTGGATCTGTGGTTTGTTGTCTTTTATTAGTTTTGGGGGAAAATTGGCCATTTAAAAAATTTTAATTTTCTATTCTTTCTGTTTCTATTTATTCTTCTCTGTTCTCTCTCCTTTAGCTAGGATTCCAATTACATATATACAGACCATTTGCACAGTTCTTGGGTAATCTGTTAATTTTTATTTTCACTATTCTTACTCTTTATATTTCAATTTGGATAATTTATATTACACTATCATCAAGGTCAAAGATTCTTTACTTTACTGTGTCCACTTTGCTAATAAACTCATTGACAGAATTCTTCATCACTGATACCGAGTTTGTTTCTAACATTTCTACTTGACTAGTCTTAATAGTTTCCATTGTTCTGCTGAAATTTCCCATCTGTTCTTAGAAGTCTACCTTTTCCACTGCACCCTTCAACATATTTATCAGAGCTATCTTGTCTCTATCTGATAGTTCCAACATTTTGGCCATCTCTAAGATCTGGTTCTGTGTGTCTTAAAATCTTTGACTACCAGGCATTGTGTGTAATGGAACAGTAGTAAAGTAAATGATATTTATGCCTAGAAAGAAATTGAAATATTTCTTATGTCATGGCTTTGGTATAGGCCTCAAGTCAATCTAATCTGTAGTTGATTTAGGTTTAAGTTTTATTTATTTATCTGTTTATTTAGAGATAGAGGCTCACTATGTTGCCCAGGCTGATCTTGAACTCTTGGGTTGAAATGATCCTCCTGCCTCGGCCTCCCAAAGTGCTGGGATTACGGGCATGAGCCACAGTGCCCAGCTGGATTTAGGTTTTGTTGTTGCTATAGTTACCTTCGGTAGACTACAGGCTCCAAATTTCTCCAGTGGTGGACTGTCCCTACATTGTGTTCAATGAGGACTTGAGTCCCCCAGGGTCCCCACTCTGCACTCAGCATTGCATGCATGCAACACAGAGGAAATCTCTCTTCGTGTTCTAGTCCCTTCTCCAGCGGTGGACTGCTGTTACTTGTTGCTTGGTGCAAGGCTTGTGGTGGAGGCAGTGAATTCTTGATTATCCTGCTCTAGCTTCAGCCTTAGACAGTCTTGAGCCTGAGCCCCAGGAGTGGGGCTTTCTTAGTGTTCCTGTTTCTCCTCCAGTTTTTGACAACCTCAGCCTCTTATTCAGTGCAGGTACTAGAATGCAGGCTGACTTCCTCCCCTTCACCCCCGTGGGAACTAAACTCTGCCTTATTGGTTGGGGGATCTCAAGTGGGAGTGAGATTCCTGCTCTTTTCCCAGTAGTAGCAGCAGCCCTCCGTTTTATATCAGTGCAAAATCCTGGACACTAATGGGTTGCCTCTTCCTTGCCAGTGTCCAGCGGCTTTTCCTTTGGTTTTCTTTTCTGACTCTGTTGCCCAGGATGGAGTACAGCGGTGCTATCACGGCTCACTGCAGCCTCCAACTTCCCAGGCTCAGGTGATCCTCACACCAGCCTCCTAAGTAGCTGGGACTACAGGCATGCACCATCACATCTGGCTTTTTTTTTTTTTTTTTTTTTTTTTTTTTTTTAGAGACAGAGTTTTGCCATGTTGCCCAGGCTAGTCTCAAACCCCTAGGCTCAAGCAATTCGCCTACCTCGGCCACCCAAAGTATTGGGATTACTGGCATGAGCCAAGGCACCCGGCCCTGATGGCTTTTGCTTAGTGTCACTGTAGCATTGTAGTGGGAGGGTCTTCTACTCCTCCAGCAGAGGCAGTCAACATTTGCTTTATAGCAGGTCAGGGACCTGTGGGATGGGCATCTTAAATCAAAGCAAAGCCAGGGTACAGGTGTTTATCTCTTGGCAGCAGCCAATTACTACCTTGCACTCATGCAGAGCCCAGAGCACAGATGGGCTTCTCCAGGTACTCCTGCTCCACCCTCAACCCTTGGCACGTCTTGCATGGCTGTGTTACCATGGGGCCTCCCTCAGGCCCTGTCCCACTCCACATCATTCTCATGAGTGTCCAGTGGAGGACTGTAGGAAGAAACTGTCTGGGGGTACAGGTTACCCTTGTGTCTGGGGCTCCCAGTAAACTGCCACTCTAGCTAATGCTCAGCCATTAAGATTTCATTAAGGTGTTAGTCATTTTCTCCTTATCTACTTTTGCGGCAACTACCTATTCCTCCATGCTCTGTCAAACATGAAACAGATCATGTGTTTCATCTATCAAAGATAATGCATTCTGGTTACCTCCAGAAACCAGTTTGCTTGGTGGCCTGTGACTTCAGCTCTCCAGTAGGCTAAAACAAAAAAAAAAAGATTTGGTACATTATTTAGCTTTTCCATTGTTATAATGGGAACAGTGCTCCCATCAGGCTGTCTACTTTCTAGGTGGAAATCAAAATCATCTTAATACGGTTTTTACACAATTAAAAAAATCTCTTGTTTAACGTTTCTATTATGACTATATGCATTACATTCCATATCAAGTCATGTAGCAGCATTTCATTTTCTTGTACAACTTGGTTTTCTTGAAATTAATTGCTTCTTTTTATTTTTGCATTTACAAACTTTCTGTAAGACATCTCAAAAACAGTTTTTCTAGATGTTCAAACCTATTCGGTCGTCTATCTACTCTCCTTTTCCTCTTCCTTAATTTTTTCTTGAAGAACTCCCTCCCAGGGCATTCTTTTCTCCTGCTCCCTCCAGGTGGGAAATGCCCTAGTCCTGCTGTTCTTCACACATTTTCTGGGGAGTAGCTTTACCTCTCCCATGGTGGGACACAGGATTTCCTGTACTGTGTGTCTTCTTTCATGATTTACTCTCTCATTTTGTTGGAGCACATCCTCCAGCAGCTTCTCAAGAAAGGGTGTGTGTTTTGAAATTTTCAGTAATCCTTGGTTGACCGTTCAAGAGAGGAGCACTAAAAACCTAATTGCTTGGCAGAGCTTGGTGACTGGTGAAATTTCACTGTAAGTTAGGTCTTGGCCATGACATTGAGGAACACAAAAATGGAAGCAGCTATAGGATACTATTCTGGGAATGGTTAGCTCTTCAGAGACTTTTCTCCTGCCTTGGGGCATAACCCTGGCTGCTGCAGTCTTCTGGAATCTGAGTAGGGGAGGACATGGGGAGGGGATATTGTTTAATTCCCCCTTCTGCTCTGATTATGGTGCATCCTCTCTCCAGAGAGTAAACTTTGTGTGGAGCAGGATTGGGATGGTAGGATGGTGAGGAAACTCCTGAAAACTCGAGGTGGCAGGGGAGATCTGGGGACTGAGTTGGACATTAAAGACTCGCAACCAACGAATCTTGTTTTTATTTTTATTTTTTATTTTTTTGAGACAAGGTCTCATTCTGTTGCCCAGGCTGGAGTGCAGTGGTATGATTTTGACTCACTGCAGCCTCCATCTCCTGGGCTCAGGTGATTCTTCCACCTCACCCACCTGAGTAGCTGGGGACACAAGCGCAGGCCACCATACCCGGCTAATTTTTATATTTTTTTTTGTAGAGTCAGGGTTTTGCCATGTTGCCCTGGCTGGTCTGGAACTCCTGGTCTCAAGCGATCCTCCTGCCTTGGCCTCCCAAAGTGTTTTAGATCACAGGCGTGAGCTGCCATGCCTGGACAACAATCCCTGTTTTTTTTTTTTTTTTCTGAGACACAGTCTCACTCTGTTGCCCAGGCTGGAGCGCAGTGGCACCATCTCCGCTCACTGCAAGCTTTGCCTCCTGGGTCATGCCATTCTCCTGCCTCAGCCTCCTGAGTAGCTGGGACTACAGGCGCCTGCCACCACACCTGGCTAATTTTTTGTATTTTTAGTAGGGATGGGGTTTCACCATGTTAGCCAGGATGGTCTCGATCTCCTGATCTCATGATCCACCCGCCTCGGCCTCCCAAAGTGCTGGGATTACAGGCGTGAGCCACCGTGTCTGACCAACAATCCCTGTTTTTAGCCTCTTCCTTCATCCCCACTTCAGAAGTTTCTGATGCCTCCAGTTCTCAAGTGCTTCCAAGGTTGTGAGGTTTCTTGTCTCCCGCCAACACCACACCTCTCCCCACTGCAGGCACTTGGGTTCAACTTTTTTCAGTCTGCTAAATGTCTTACCAGGTGCCACCTACTTGTAGCCTCCAAAGTTTAGCTGACATCTCCCATCTCTGCAGTTGTTTTCTTTCCCATTGTTCTCTCTTTGTGCCTGTTTTCTAGGGAGTAGCTTTACCTCTCCCATGGTAGGGTACAGGGTTTCCTGTACCCTGTGTCTTTCATGATTTACTCTCTCGTTTTGTTGGAGCACATCCTCCAGCAGCTTCCTGAGAGGCTTTGTGCCTCTTTTCTTCCCCATTGTACTGTTTTTCATGCCTATTTTCTTTCCCATTGTTCTGTGGCTTTATGCCTATTTTATTCATTCCCTCTCATGTTAATGGGGCTTTCAGGGGCACACATAAATTTGCTCTATTGAAGCAGAAGTTTATTAATTCATTTTAAAATGGAGGAAAATGAGGGCAGAGAGAGAGACAGATCCTACCCAAAGCCACATGATGAGTTAATAGCAGGGCTGGATGGAGTTTACATGTTGCTTTCTCCCAAACACCTTCCGTCTGGGTAGAAGCTGGTGTCCTGGGGAAGCCCCCAGATAGACTGCTTTTTGGGAGGGGGAGTGTATCAGGCAGAGCTGCTAATGGCAGCCATTACTTGGTGGTCAAGGATTCTGGAGTCTTAGAGACCTGGCTTTAGGCAGGTTTAAGTAAAGCAAGACCCTTTGCCCTTCATCCTCAGCTTCCTCATCTGTGAAACGCAAGAGTGGTGAGGGTCAAATAAGATGCTGCATGTCCTACTATTGGGACATGCCAGACACCTAGAAGTTAGAGGCCGTTCTTTTATCATCATGATGATGGCATGTACCTTTTCCAGGGCCAGAGCCAGTTCTTGGAGGAGACTCAGCACAGGGCATGGATCACTGTGGTACTCTTTTCCTGTGCCTGTGCCTTCTGACTTTGCAGAATGCAACAGCAGGTAAGGGAGCTCTGCTGAACTGGGGGCAGCCCTAGCCCAGTCCTGGGACTATGATGCAAAAGGGGCAGGCATCAAACCCTGGGAGATTGAAAGGGGCCACTTAGGCTTCCTGGGGGCAGCAGGAGCTGCTTGTGAACTAGACTCTCAGGCTGGGATGGAAAGCCCAGAGGTGGTGGGGCCAGAGGGTAGCTGAGACACAAGCTGAGGGGGAGGTGTGTCCCCACAGAGACATGGAAAGAACTCCTCAGCTACATGGAGAATATGCAAGTGTCCAGAGCCCGGAGCCCGTTTTTTTACCTTCGGTGAGTTGGGGGTGGCCTTCTCCTGTTTAGAGCCAGCTGTGTCTCCCACCCCAAGCCTGCACCTTGAATCAGTGGGTCAGAGTTGGTCTTGTATAGACTCTTAACTGTGCATTTTTTTAGCACTTTTATTGAGTGCCTACTGCATGCCTGACACTAGGCTCTGCGGATGCAGGGTGGGCGTGTCACTGCCCTCATGAAGTTTATCATTGAGGAATGGGGGCCCTTAATCATGGATATCATGAAACTAAGTGTAGAATTGTGGGTCTCCATGCATTTTCCTGGGAAGGGACTCTAAAATTCTGGCTGGGTTCTCCAGGGTCTGTGACCCAAAGACTGAGCAGCTCTGGGTGAGCAGACAATACTGAAGACTGGTCAGGGATAAGAGCGGCTACTGGGAAGCTGTGAGGGAGCAGTCAGGGAAGGCTTCCTGGAGAAGGTGACAACAAACTGGGACCTGAACAGGAGTTAATCGAGAGGAGGGGATAGATGGGGTAGGGAGGTAATAGTGTGCCAAGGACACTGTGTATGCAGTGGTCTGGAGGTGGGAGTGGCAGGGGTGTGGGTGGGGAGGCCCTGCCCTCCCAGGCTGTCTAGAGCTCCCTCTCACCCTTACCCCACTCTGGGCTCTGGCCTCCCTGGCCGTCTCTCTGGGCTGCAGTCAACTTCACCAGCTGGAGCAGATGCTACTGAACACCAGCTTCCCGGGCTACAACCTGACCTTGCAGACACCCGCCATCCAGTCTCTGGCCTTCAAGCTGAGCTGCAACTTCTCTGGCCTCTCACTGAGCAGTGCCACTCTGAAGCGGGTGCCCCAGGTCAGAGGCTGCAGGTGGTGGTGGTGGGGGCGTGGCCAGCTGCCCCTGCCCTAGAAGTCCTCCAGGGGTTTAAGGTGTGGACTTTCTTTAGGCTCCACCGTCCTCCTCCCCACACCCCCCAGTCCAGGCTCTGCCCTAACTGGCAGTGAGTTACCTCCTCTGTAAAATGGGGCTGATACTCGCTGTGTGAATTGTGGAAAGGGTGGTGCTTTATGGCCCCTCCAGGGTGGAGTCTTCTTCCTGCTTTGGCTGGAGGCTACCCCCTGGGGGAGGCAGCTGTGAGAGAGGCCAGGAACCCTGGCTCCTTTTAGGACCCTGGGATGATTGGCTGGATCCCTGGCGGGGGCTGGGCTGGGGCTGAGTGCTGAGGTAGCTCCATCTTCAGGGGCCCAGTGGGTCAGGTAAACACCCCAAACTCAGGAGCAGCATGGAGGGAAGGCCTGGAATCTCGGGAAGTTTGGGAGGAGATGCAGCCTGGGGGGCGAAGGTTCTGTGGGTGGAAACCCCAAGGAAGGTTTCATGGGGAGTGGGAGGCAGTGAAGGTGTTGGGGTCAGGTCTACAGGTCCTGGTTGCCAGACTCAGCTTGTCTGTGACCCTCTGCAGGCCCGGGGTCAGCATGCCCGGGGTCAGTATGCCTGGGGTCAGCATGCCATGCAGTTCCCCGCCGAGCTGACCCAGGATGCCTGCAAGACCCGGCCCGGGGAGCTGCGGCTCATCTGTATCTACTTCTCCAATGCCCACTTTTTCAAGGTCAGTGTGATGGCGGGCCAAGGAGGGTGGGTGCCGGCCCCTTCTTGGGATCCACTGCAGGTGCCCATGTCACTGCCTGGCCTCTGGGTGACCAGCACTGAGTGAGACCAACCAGTCGGCTGTGCAATGCAAGCCAGCCATTGTCCCTCTGTGGGCCTCAGTTTCCCTGCCAGCTTTAGCAGAATGGTAGGAAGGCACAATTACAATCTGCAAATAAGACCTAAGAAACCTACTATGTGCCTGTCGCTAGGCGGGAGACAGACAAGAAGACACTTGTTCCCTGCGCTCAGAGAACTCTCTGTCTTCATGCTTAGACTAAGACCTTAGAGGTTTTTTTGTTTTTTTTTTTTTTTTGTCAGAGTCTCGCTCTGTTGCCCAGGCTGGAGTGCAGTGGCATGATCTCGGCTCACTGCAACCTCCGCCTCCTAGGTTCAAGCGATTCCCCTGCCTCAGCCTCCCTGGGATTACAGGCGTGCATCACCATGCCCAGCTAATTTTGTATTTTTAGTAGAGACCGGGTTTAACCATGTTGGCGAGGCTGATCCTGAACTCCTGGCCTCAAGTGATCTGCCCGCCTCAGCCTCCCAAAATGCTAGGATTATAGGCGTGAGCCACTGTGCCCGGCCAGACCTTAGAGATTTAATGTCAGCACAAGGTCGATAATAGCCACAAAGATCCAGAGCGATGGATGAGTCAGTGTGGGGTCAGGGCTCTTCCCAGTGGGCAGTCCAGGGGAGCTTCTGCGGAAGGTGCCTTTCAACTTTGGCTTTGAAAGTGTGTGAGGATAGTGGTGAGGTGGAGGGTGTGGGGCTGGAATGCATTAAACGAATGGGACGTGAAGCAGGGGGTGGTGAGAGGACAGCTTTCCCCTGGCAGGAACAGCACATGCAAAGGCTGGGAGGCTGGGAGGCTGGGAAGGCTGGGAGGCTGGGAGGCTGGGAAGGCTGGGAGGCTGGGAAGGCTGGGAAGGCTGGGAGGCTGGGAGGCTGGGAAGGCTTTCATGCTGCACACGTGAAACTCTTGCTGCTTGTTCTCATCCAGGGAAGCGGGGCTCAGACCTTACCCAGGACCTCCCGATTTCCCCCCCCACTCAACCCTTCTCCTGCTGCCCTTCCAGGATGAAAACAACTCATCTCTGCTCAATAACTACGTCCTGGGGGCCCAGCTGAGTCATGGACACGTGAACAACCTCAGGGATCCGGTGAACATCAGCTTCTGGCACAACCAAAGCCTGGTACTGCTGGGGGCGCCCCCATTTTCCCTGCACCCCTGCCCCTCTGTGACTCTCCTATTGAACATTGGTTTGACCAGACCCAAACCTGTGGAACCCTCTTGGAAATCCATCACACTTTGAAAATTCCTGCTCAAGAAATAAGAAAGAGAGGTTTTTACTCATGCATTTGTCAGGATGCTTTCAGTTGCAAGTGAGAAAAGACCACCTCAAGCCAGCTTGAGCACAGAGGGAACTGATTGGCACACATCAATGAAATGTCTAGGGGTGGTCCACCAGCTTCAGGCACAGCTGGATCCAGGGACAGATCTGATGCCCTCGTGGCTCAGTCTGTCTCCATCTCAGCAATGGTCTCCTGCCTGGGCTGTCCATTCTGTGGCATGATGGATGCTGAAGAGCCAGACTTCCTTTCCTTCTTCCCATCAGGCTCTTCCCCCCACTCTCCATCCCCAACCTGCCCCAGTGCAGACCAGGGTCTCAGGATCTTAAAGGTTCAACTGGGTCATGTGTACATCCCTTTACCTGTCACTATGTCCAGGGGGATGGAAGGTGTGGATTGGCCAGGCCTGGGTCACAGGGCCCAGGGACTAGGGTGAAAGAATGAGCTCCTAGGGGAAGTGCAGATGCTGATCCTGGAACAAAGAAAGGGCTGCTCATTGGGGGTGGGGGCAGAGTGGGGTGGCTCACAAGCCTCAGTGCCTCCTTTTCTGGTTCCTGCCATTCCTGAAAAGCCCGGAGCCTCTGCTTTCTGCTCCATCTTCCCTTCAGCCTCACCAGGACTGCCCTGCACTGTAAATTTCACCATCATCCTTTCCTTTCATCTCTGGGCTTTTGCCACTATGGTTCCCTCCACCTGGAATGCCCTTGCCCTACTCATATTGAAATCCAACACATCCTCTAAGGCCTCAGGGCCCCCACCTCCCCTTCTCCCTTTGGGTCAGCTCTGCCTGCCCTCCATGGTTTTCAGTGACTGCCTGTGTCATTTCCTCCACCACTCCACCCACGTGACTTGGCGTTAGGGTTGTCTGTAGATGCGTCTCCCCCAGCCAGGCATGGGTCTGAGCACGTTGCTGTTCCCCACGGGGATGAGGGGAAGGGATCAGCTGGTTATGGAGTGCCTACTGTATAAAAGGCCAGAGCTGGACACTCAAGATTCCATGTTGCCCTTTGTTTTTCCACCATTCTTGTAATATGGGTATGAATGATCCTATTCTGCAGATGACTAAACCGAGGCGCAGAGCAACTTGGCATCTTGCCCGGGTCGCTCTGAGAGCCCACAGTGGAGATGGGACTGGAATCTGAGACTGTCTGAGGCCAAAGGCCAGCCAGTGCCTGGTAAAATGTTGGTGAATGGACAGTTGAGTCACCGTTGGTCCCCAGGACTCCCAGACACTGATCTGCAGCCTTTCCTCTGCACCCTATGACTGACTCCAGCATCTTCACCCAGGAAGGCTATACCCTGAGCTGTGTCTTCTGGAAGGAGGGAGCCAGGAAACAGCCCTGGGGCGGCTGGAGCCCTGAGGGCTGTCGTACAGAGCAGCCCTCCCACTCTCAGGTGCTCTGCCGCTGCAACCACCTCACCTACTTTGCTGTTCTCATGGTATGTATGCATCCTGAGTGGGGCCCAGAGCTGTAGAGGGCCCTGTGTCTGTGGCAGAGGAGAAAGGCAAAAGCTGGTGCAAGGGGCAGAAAACCCAACTTAAATGGGCTTAAGCAAAAAAAAAGAAAGAAAATTTAAGGACTCATGTTCCTGAAAAGGCTGGGTTAGGCTTCAGGCATGGCTTGATCCAGGGGCTGATCACTAAGATCACTAAGATAGCACTCTATCTCTGTCCCTCAACTGTGCTTGCTCTGTGCTGGCTTAGCCCTCAAATAGGAACTCCTAATATGAGATAATAATATAGCTGGCAGCAGTTCCAGGCTCATGCCCTGCAAGCTTTCAGACCAGTGGAATAAAATCTTTTACCCAGTTCTGCCAGCCATGTGCTCATCCCTGAACCAATCACTATAGGCAGGAGGAGGGAGGGCCCTGCTTGACCAGGCCTAGTGCACCTTTCTGCACAGAGAGGGCAAAGTGGTGGAACCCCCCAGGTGCATAGGGAGTAGGGGAAGGGAGGCACTCATAGCAGAAGAGGGAGATGGGAGCTGTGGCGGGGGCAAAACTCACTGTATCTGCCATGGCCTCGTTCAGGCCAGGTCCATGGCTAGGCTTGTGGGGAAGGGGACTTGGAGAGGAGGCCTCAGGAGGTCTCTCTGACTGAGGCTGGGAGGGAGGGCGATACTATGCTTCTGGCCTCCAGCCCCTCTTCCCTCCTGCAGCAATTCTCCCCGGCCCTGGTCCCTGCAGAGTTGCTGGCACCTCTTACATACATCTCCCTCGTGGGCTGCAGCATCTCCATCGTGGCCTCACTGATCACAGTCCTGTTGCACTTCCATTCCAGGTATTCCACTGCCACAGTGCTGGGCCTGCCCCCAACTGTGGCACATCACCCTTCCTTGTGTCCCATTTAGTCAACTAGAACTGGGTGTGCTTCTCCAGAGGGTGGGGGCCAGGAGGTGGGAGACCAGCCTCTTGGTGCGACTGCTGTGGGATCCCTGCCCCTTCTTCACCTCATTTTCCCCATCGGCATGCACCAGTGGGTAGTGCTGCCTGGATGATGTCCCTGGGCCATGGAGGGCCATGCTCTCACCTGCAGGAAGAAGATTGACTCTTTAGCACGCATCCATATGAACCTGCACGCCTCCGTGCTGCTCCTGAACATCACCTTCCTGCTGAGCCCCGCATTTGCCATGTCTCCTGTGCCCCAGTCAGCGTGCACGGCTCTGGCTGCTGCCCTGCACTACGCGCTGCTCAGCTGCCTCACCTGGATGGCCATCGAGGGCTTCAACCTCTACCTCCTCCTCGGGCGCGTCTACAACATCTACATCCGCAGATATGTGCTCAAGCTTGGTGTGCTAGGCTGGGGTAAGCACAGCATCTCTCCTCTCCTTCTCCTCAGACCTCCGGCGGGCAGGATATTGACCCCTTTTAGTCCTTTCTTTCCCCTCCTCCTCATCATCATAGTGGCCATTACATGACCACTAGCTGTGATCTCTGTCTACACCCACCTCTACTTTCTACATTACTAATTTTATCACCTCTTCCACCTCCATCATCACCATCATCACCTCTTCCACCTCCTTCACCACCATCATCACCTCCTTCACCTCCGTTACCAGCATCACCTCCTCCACCTCCATCACTACCATCATCATCTCCTCTACTTCCGTTATCACCATCACCTCCTCCACCTCCATCACCACCTCCTCCACCTTCATCACCATCATCATCACCTCCTCCACCTCTACCACCTCCTCCACCACCACCATCATCTCCTCCACCTCCATCACCACCTCCTCCACCTCCATCACCTCCATCATCACCTCCACCTCCATCATCACCATCACCTCCATCACCACCTCCACCTCCATCATCACCATCACCTCTTCCACCTCCATCACCACCACCTCCACTTCCATCACCTCCATCACCACCTCCTCCACCTCTATCACATCCATCGTTACCTCCTTCACCTCCATCACCACCTCCTTCACATCCATCATCACCTCCTCCACCTCCATCACCTCCATCACCTCCATCATCACCTCCTCCACCTCCATCACCTCCTCCATCTCCTCCACCTCCATCACCACCATCATCATCACCTCTTCCACCTCCATCTTCACCATCACCTCCTCCATCTCCTCCATCTCCATTACCACCATCATCACCTCCTCACCTCCATCACCTCCATCATCACCTCCTCCACCTCAATCACCTCCATCATCACCTCCTCTACCTCCATCACCTCCTCCATCTCCTCCACCTCCTTCATCTCCTCCACCTCTATCACCACCATTATCACCTCCTCCACCTCTGTTATCAACATCACCTCCTCCATCTCCTCCACCTCTATCACCACCATCATCACTTCCTCCACCTCCATCGCCATCATCTTCACCTCCTCCATCTCCTCCACCTCCATCACCTCCTCCATCTCCTTCATCTCTTCCACCTCTATCACTACCATTATCACCTCCTCCACCTGTTATCAACATCACTTCTTCCATCTCCTCCACTTCTGTCACCACCATCATCACCTCCTCCACCTCCATTGCCATCATCATCACCTCCTCCATCTCCTCCACCTCTATCATTGCCATCATCACCTCCTCCACCTCCATCATCACCATCACTTCCTCCATCTCCTCCACCTCCATCATCACCATCATCACCTGCTCCATCTCCTCCACCTCCATCATCACCTCCTCCATTTCCTCCATCTCTGTCATCACCATCGTCACCTCCTCCACCTCCATCATCACCTCCTCCACCTCTGTCACCACCTCCTCCACCTCCATTGCCATCATCATCACCTCCTCCACCTCTATCACCACCATCACCTCTTCCACCTCCATCGCCATCATCATCACCTCCTCCACCTCTGTCACCACCATCATCACCTTCTCCACCTCCATCACCATCATCATCACCTCCTCCACCTCCATCACCATCATCATCACCTCCTCCACCTCCATTCATCATCACCTCCTCCATCTCCTCCACCCCTATCATCACCATCATTACCTCCTCCACCTTCATCATCACCATCATCACTTCCTCCACCTCCATCATCACCATCACCTCCATTTCCTCTACCTCTATTATCACCATCATCACCTCCTCCACCTCCATCATCACCATCATCACCATCACCTCCTCCATCTCCTCCACCTCTATCATCACCATCATCACCTCCTCCACCTCCATCATCACCATCATCACCTCCTGTAGCTCCATCATCACCATCACCTCCATCTCCTCCACCTCTATCATCACCATCACCTCCACCTCCTTCATCACCATCACCTGATTCATCTTCCACCTCCATCATCACCATCATCACCTCCTCCACCTCCATCATCATCATCATCACCTCCTGTAGCTCCATCATCACCATCACCTCCATCTCCTCCACCTCTATCATCACCATCACCTCCACCTCCTTCATCACCATCACCTGATTCATCTTCCACCTCCATCATCACCATCATCACCTCCTCCACCTCCATCATCACCATCATCACCTCCTCTAGCTCCATCATCACCATCATCTCCGTTTCCTCCACCTCTATCATCACTATCACCTCCTCCACCTCCTTCATCACCATCACCTGCTTCATCTCCTCCACCTCTGTCACCACCATCACCTCCTCCACCTCCATCGCCATCATCATCACCTCCTCCATCTCCTCCACCTCTATCATCACCATCATCACCTCCTCCATCTCCATCATCAACACCTTCACCTCCTTCATCACCATCACCTGCTTCATCTCCTCCACCTCTGTCACCACCATTATCACCTCCTCTCCCTCCATCACCATCACCATCACCTCCTCCATCTCCTTCACCTCTATCAGCACCATCATCACCTCCTCCACCTCCATCATCACCATCATCACCTCCTCCACCTCTATCACCATCACCTCCTCTATCTCCTCCACCTCTATCATCATCATCACCTCCTCCACCTCTATCATCACCATCACCTCCTCCATCTTCTCCACCTCTGTCATCACCATCATCACCTCCTCCACCTCCACTATCACCATCATCACCTACATCTCCTCCATTTCCATCATCACCATCATCTCCTCTACCTCCATCACCACCATCATTTCCTCTACCTCCTTCACCACCGTCACCACCTCCTCCACCTCCATCACCACCATCATCACTTCTTCCACCTTCTCTATCTCCAACAGTACCATCACTGCTACCTTCATCACCGTCCTTGCCCCTTTCTTGCTTATTTCTATTTCCTCAGAAGTTCCCCAGTCCTCCCTCCCATTTGCTCCCCACCATCACCGTCCCGGTGTGACCACTCCTCCCTCCACCACTGTTCCATTGTAGAACTGAGCTTCTTCCAAACCACCAGGCTTATTGCTCTGAAGCTGGGGGCTCAGAACAGTCTCCTCCCAGTTGTCCCTTGCCCAGTGGAATTCTGTGTCAGCAGCCCCAGGGACCAAGGGCCAGCCCTCTCCCACATCTCCTGAGCCTTTGTCTCACCTCTCAGGGGTCCCAGCCCTCCTGGTGCTGCTTTGCCTCTCTGTCAAGAGCTCAGTGTACGGACCCCACACAATCCCCGTCTTCAACAGCTGGGAGAATGGCACGGGCTTCCAGAACATGTCCATGTGAGTGCCCTCAGGGCTGAGTGGGCTCCCTGGCTCTGACAGAAGGGCCACATGGGCCTGGGACTCCAAATGGAATATTCTGTAGGCAAGGCACTGGCTGTGGGGCAGAGAGGGAGCTGGGGTTGACAGGGGAGTTTGCAGGGGGCTCCATCACATCCCTTCCATGGATCCAGGTCTCCTGCAGAGGCAGCCTTGTATTCTATGCTGACAAAGTCTACGGAGCCACATCTGTTCGCCAACATGCCAGGGCAGCCGGGCCTCCCGTCTCCTCTGTCCTGCCCTGTCCTCCAGTGCCCAGGCCCTAAGGGTCTGGCTCAGCCTGCACTTGACTCTGTTCCCCTGCAGACCACCTTGCTGCACCTACCCAGGCTCCGACTCCTCCCGATCTGCCCTGGGCACTGCCAGGCCTCTCAAGCCCTCCTAGTCGGACAAGAATGCTGTGGGGGCTGGGCTTGGGGGAGGCAAGGAGAGGCAGCGAGGTAGGCCTTTGGGGGCCGGGGGACACGCTACTGCTTTTTTTATAGCCCCTCCCTGCAGGTGAGGACATTAAGGACACTATTTTTTATTATTATGCAGCATTTCTAACAGCCAGACATAGACTAGCCTAAGGAACCCCTGCTGGCCTGTCACTCACTTGCAGTTGGCTGTGGAACCTTCTTTTTCCTTCTTGGCTGATGAAGGCTCAGGATAGCTGGGGGCTGATTCTGTGGCAGGCCTTGGGTATCAGCCGGTTTCGTTTTCACAAGGGCAAGGGCTGGGTCCTGTTGCCAGCCCTATTTTACAGTTAGGGCCCCTGAGAAACAGGCAGCTTCAGAACTCTACCTGAGGAGCCCCAGCCAGTCAGGGGCAGAGCTGGGACGTGGTCTCTGGCAGGCTGGTCCAGAGCCTGGCCCCCAGCCCCTGAAGCAAGGCCGGGGGACTGCGTGGTACATAGGTGATCCCTCACAGTGAGGCTTGGGTGTATCAGAGGACATGTGACTTCAATTTACATGAATTGTTCTCTGCAATCTCCTTGACAGCCCATAAGGCAAGTGCATAATCATCCCCATCCTACAGATGAAGAAATAGAATCTCTGGCCTCAGTTTACATACTCTTTGAAGATGTATTTTCTTTTCTTTCTTTCTTTTTTTTTTTTTTTGAGATGCAGTTTCGCTCTTGTTGCCCAGGCTGGAGTGCAATGGCGCGATCTCAGCTCACTTCAACCTCTGCCTCCTGGGTTCAAGCAATTCTCCTGCCTCAGCCTCCCGAGTAGCTGGGATTACAGGTGCCCGCCACCATGCTCAGTTAATTTTTGTATTTTTAGTAGCGATAGGGTTTCAGCATGTTGGCCAAACTGGTCTCAACTGACCTCAGGTGATCCTTCTGCCTTGGCCTCCCAAAGTGCTGGGATTACAGGTGTGAGCCACTATGCCCAGCCTATTTTCTTATGTAATAATGTGATGAGGACAAAGGAGCTATAGTGACACATCCACAGGACCCACTAATGCACAGATGTTAGAGAACACCCACCTACGAGCCAGCTTCTCCGTGGGTCTCCCTCACTCTCCCCTCCTCTCAGGAAACAATTACCTTGGGGTTTGTGACTTTTTTCCTCTTCAATTTAAACATCTCTTACTATGTATATACACATTCCTAAACCCAAACATCAGTTAAAAACCAAAAACAGGCCGGGCGCGGTGCCTCACGCCTGTAATCCCAGCACTTTGGGAGGCCGAGGCGGGCGGATCATGAGGTCAGGAGATCAAGACCATCCTGGCTAACACAGTGAAACCCCATCTCTACTAAAAACACAAAAAATTAGCTGGGCATGGTGGTGGGCGCTTGTAGTCCTAACTACTTGGGAGGCTGAGGCAAGAGAATGGCATGAACCCGGGAGGTGGAGATTACAGTGAGCCGAGATAGCGTCACTGCACTCCAGCCTGGGCAACAGCAAGACTCCGACTTGAAACAAACAAACAAACAAAACACATCCTGGCCAACTTGGAGAAATCTCATCTGTACTAAAAATACAAAAATTAGCCAGGCGTGGTGGTGTGCACCTGTAATCCCAGCTACTCAGGAGGCTGAGTCAGGAGAATCGCTTGAACCTGGGAGGTGGAGGTTGCAGTGAGCTGAGATTGCGCCACTGCACTCCAGCCTGGAGAGAGAATGAGACTCCATCTCAAAAAACAAAACAAATACAACCCTTGAAAATCATTCAGATGTCCGCTGACGGGATGCTGGCTGAATGGACTGTGGTAGAGCTGCCCCTGTGGGGATATTCCCTAATGGTGAGAGTGAGTCCCCACTCATCAACTCGGAGGAATCCCAAAATAATGTCCTGGGACCCTTGTGACTGTAGGGGCAGGAGCCACAAAGCGAACCTAAGCAGGGGATTGTGACAATTAGGGGCTCAGGCTCTGGGCCGGGGGCATTAGGTTCCAGCTTTGCCTCTAACTGGAATGTGTTCCTGAGCCAGAGCCTGAGTTTCCTCATCTGCAAAATGAGGATGATTATGTACTTGCTTTATGGGTTGTCATGGAGATTGCAGGGGACAATTCACATAAAGCACATCATTACTGATGGGGGGTGTCCAGGTTCTTGGCATCTTGAACAAAGAATTGGACAAGTCTAGGCATGGTGGCTCATGCCTGTAATCCCAGCACTTTGGAAGGCCGAGGCAGGTGGATCAGCTGAGGTCAGGAGTTCGAGGTCAGCCTCGACAACATGTTGAAACCCCATCTTTACTAAAAATACATAAAAATTAGCCGGGTGTGATGTTGGGTACCTGTAGTCCCAGCTACTCAGGAGGCTGAGAGAGGAGAATTGCTTGAACCCGGGAGGCGGAGGTTGCAGTGAGCCAAGATCACGCCACTGCACTCCAGCCTGGCAGCAGAGACTCCCTCTCAAAAAAAAAAAAAAAAAAGGAAAAAAGAAAAAGGACAAAGTGTACAGAGTGAGGAATGAATTAAGCAACAAAAGCAGAGATTGACTGAAAATGAAAGCATGTGCAGGAGTGGGCCAGAGCATAGGGCCTCAAGAGTCGTGTTACAGAATTTGTGGAGATTTAAGTACCCTCTAGAGGTTTCCACTGGTTACTTGGTGTACGCCCTCTGTCAATGAGGAGGATGAAGTAAAGTTACAAAGTCATTTGACATACGCCCTATGTAAATGGAGAGGATATTTCCTGTCATAGCTGAAGTGTTTCCATTTGATTTATTTTTATTTATTTTGAGATGGAATCTCGCTCTGTCACCCAGGCTGGAGTGCAATGGTGCGATTTCGGCTCACTGCAACCTCTGCCTCTCAGGTTCAAGTGATTCTCCTGCCTCAGCCTCCCTAGTAGCTGGAATTACAGGCACCCGCCACCATGCCCAGCTAATTTTTGTATTTTTAATACAGACGGGGTTTCACCATGTTGGTTAGGATGGTCTCCAACTCCTGACCTCAAGTGATCAGCCCACCTTGGCCTCCCAAAGTGCTGGGATTACAGGCGTGAGCCACTGCGCCTGGCCTCCATTTGATTTAGTTCTAGGAAGTCCTTATGTTCCTGTCTCTGAACCCTATTCTCCTGCCTCAGCATGACATTGTGTCTGACTAAAAGGTGGCATCTGTCTTGAAGGTGTCTTGGGGAGGCAGAGGGTGGAGGCCTCTGGGAGGGCCCGGGATCAGGGCTGGCTTTGGTCAGTTCTCCATGGCTCTGTGCTCAGCCCTCAGTGAGCCTCCTGCTGCTCTGCGTGCTCTCAGGTTGACACTTGGAGGGCCCTTGTCCACAAGCCATGGGTTGGCAGCCTGCCCACTGTCCAGCGCAGGCCATGGTGGCCCCGTCTAGGTGGGGAGAGGCTCCTGGGTAGGGATGTCCCACTGCAGAGATGAAGATGAGGCGGCGACAACCATGTAGTGGAGTGGAAGGGGGAGTTTCCAGGAAAGAGGGCTCTGGGCCAAGCGTCCAATAGAAGATGGGGCACGCCGGCCTCGGGCTGGCTGTGGAAGCAGAGAGGAGTGAGATGTGGAAAGGAGACAGGAAGAATTTTCAGGGTGGTGAAGACACGCGGACGTGAGAGAAACCACTGTGGCTGGAAAGGTGGGCATGAGGGAGCTTCAGATTGTTGACCGAGGCGGCAGATGTGTCTTCTGGTGGTGGCCTGGCTGGAAAGCCGGGTGAGGGGCTTCACCGTGTGTTCAGTCAGGCAAGAAACAATAGAGCCTGAGCCAGGAGACCGAGTGGGGCTTCAGGGAGTGACGCTGTCCTCCGCGTGGGCCTAGGAGCCACCGTGAGCCCGACACATCACCTTCCCCTGCAGGTGCTGGGTTCGGAGCCCTGTGGTACACAGTGTCCTGGTCATGGGCTACGGTGGCCTCACGTCCCTTTTCAACCTGGTGGTGCTGGCCTGGGCGCTGTGGACCCTGCGCAGGCTGCGGGTGCGGGCGGACGCACCGAATGCCAGGGCCTGCCATGACACTGTCACCGTGCTGGGCCTCACCGTGCTGCTGGGAACCACCTGGGCCTTGGCCTTCTTTTCTTTTGGCATCTTCCTGCTGCCCCAGCTGTTCCTCTTCACCATCTTAAACTCGCTCTACGGTAGGGCTGGAGGGCGGCCTGGAGGAAGCCACCTGGCAGGGGGTATATGGCTGGTGGGATGTTCACTGCCAAAGGGGTTCAGGTGAAGGGGGCGAGTGGGGCACTGGCATCCAACCCACAGCCCCATTAGCTAAGCTGGTGGGGGCTACATCTGCATGAAGGTACTCTATGGTCTGGCCGCAGCAGCTCTTCCAGCTCTGAGGCTCTGCCGCTGCTGGCCTCCTACAGTAAGAGATTCTGAGAGTTGCTCATGGGCCCCAGAGAGGCCAGCTTGCTGCAGCCACGGAGACCCTGGCCTCTGGGGAAGCCCACGCTGCCCCGTAGCACTCCCACCTACCAGCCTTTCTCTTGCAGGTTTCTTCCTTTTCCTGTGGTTCTGCTCCCAGCGATGCCGCTCAGAAGCAGAGGCCAAGGCACAGGTAGAGGCCTTCAGCTCCTCCCAGACAACGCCGTAGTCTGGGCCTCCTGGCCTGGAACCCTCAGCCTCTCTGGCTGCCAGCAGCCTGAGGCCATGGATTCCGCTAGAGGGTGGCAGGCTTGCTACTGGACCCCGGAGGCCACTGTGACCCTCAAGGGGCCTTTTCCACTTCCACAGCCTCTCCAGGCACTGAGGGGAAGGTGTTGCTCTACCTCTCCCTGACATTTTGCTCCAGGGCAGATCCAACCTCACCTGGGGCAGCAAACTTTGTCCTGGCACCTGGGCCCAGCTGTCCAGGGATGTGGGCAGAGCACCAGCCTGGGCATCAGGAGGCCGAGTTTCAAGACCTGGTTCTGAGTCTGTATGACCCTGGGCCTGCCACTTCTCACCGACCCTGGGTATCCACAGCTGTGACATGGGGGCAAGTGGCTTTGTCCAGCTTAACCCAGGAGCTTAGTAAAGATTGCATAAGACCAGGGGGAAGAGTGTCACTGTGGGGTGGGAATTCCCACAGCCTCCACCTGCTTGCTAGGGGCAGGATCTCATCCAAGCTGCCATGGAAGCACCTGCTCGGCCCTGTCATCTTCCTCCTGGGGAGGGCCAGACGGCATCTTGGCTTGGGGCAGGTGGGACCTACCCAGGGTCTGAGACTTTACTGGCCTATGCCTGAGGCCTCTTTTCCTTTAACTCCCTAAATAATGATGACTCCAAGTCCAAGCCCACCCTTCCCAAAGACTGGGAGGTTCAGCCCTTCCCAGAGGCTCCTCCTGTGTACTCCCAAGACTTCTACAGACCATTTGGACCAGTAGCCCATCCCACAGAGTTTTCTTGCGGGGCAGAGGAAGACACTTCTTTCTCCTCCTGCTGAATCAGCTGGACCCCAGTGACCTGGCTATTTGGTGATTGGGCAGGATTGAATTTGCCCTGGTAGGCGTGAGAGTGTGGGTTTTAAATCCAAAGCTCAGGCCATAGTTGCAGAGAATCACCCTTACCCCAGACCTGTCAGACCCTGTGGGAGACAGCGCTCATGAAGCCAGTGCGTTTCCCCGGACGAACACGAGGGGGCGCCGCTGGCCAACACTCAGAGGCCCTTGGTGCCAAGACTGCATCTGGAATAGCTCAAACACCTGTTTGCAGACCCCATGCACTAGCTGGAGGGGCCGTAATTGCAGGACTGTGCCTGCTGAGTGACCCACTTCCTCCAGGAGGAAAGGCAACACACATTTACACGGCCATTTGTCTCTTTTCCCAATGCGCCGTTGCGCTGTCACTTTTGGGGGCTGCACCCCAGATATAGCTGGCACCAGAGCAGGGCTGGGGTAGGTGCTCAGGGCCCTGCCCCAGGCCATCGGGCAGTTTTGATGACCTCGAAGGTCACAGGCAGAAAATGGGAGCAGGATTTTCTCTGGAAAAGTTCTCCTGGGACATCTTCTGCTCTTCTGTACATTTCTAGACGCAAGTAACTCCTTCACCAAGCAGTGAGTGGCACAGGCTCTGGAGCCAGGCTGCTTGGGCTCCAGTGCCAGCTCTGCCACTTGCTAGCTGTGAGACTGTGGACAAGCCACTCAGCCTCTCTGTGCCTCAGTTTTCCTATTTGTAAAATAGAGGCCAGTGGTACCTATTTTGAGGACTAAGTAAAATAATTCAAATAAAGAGACTTGGCACAGAGTAAGTGCTCAGTAAACGGTTACTGGTATTATCATTAGTATTTTTGCTATTATTATTATTAACAGTGTTGACTGAGTTTCAGAGGCCAGCCTGTCCAAGCCCCAGGCCCAGCTCTGCTCAACCTTGCAGGCACAACCCCTTCTTAGGCACATCTCACCATGCCTCAGTTTCTTTCCCCAGAGGGGCCTCTACTCCCACCTTGCTGGCTTTCTGCTGTTGTAGGAATAGTCCCCACACAGTGCAGCCTCCAGGCCGTGCCACATGTCCCCCGACCTCCCAGTTCCCCAATCTTCCAGTCTGTTGAAATTCCTGGTGGTCATTTATCACATCTTCTACAAAATCGCCCCAGTGGTGGATAGAGAAGGCCTCTTTCCCACACTAACTCACTCCAGGCAGAATCTCCCCACCCCCACCACCATCTGGGTGATGTGAGCACCCATCCAAGCTCCCATGGTTAAGCCCAGGCTCTCCAGGCCTTGGAGTGGGGGGTCCCCATGCTAATGAGGGTCCCGAGGAATCATGGGAACCTTTAGCTCTTCTCTTGGACAGCTCCAGGGGAGCTGGGGGACACAGGCTTCTGCTGTGGCTGGGTTTGCATAGAGCCCTCCAGCCCAGAGCCTGGCCCCAGACCTCACCAAGCCCAGGGATGCCCAAGGGAGGATGTGGCCACAGTGACACGGGATGAGACTGGCAGTTTCAGGAAGCAACCCCAAGCTTGTGGCCCTGAGCCCCGCTGGGGTCCAGGCCCTGGGCAGGGACCACTTCCTGGAAATGTCTCACCTGGGTGTGGGGGAGGGACTGAGGGAGATGGTGTGGAACCAGGGTCCCATGTCCCCCTTCCTCTCCCTCCCAGCAAAGCCCAGATGGGGCCCTGGGGCCCGAGGGCCAGCTCTTGGGAGCTTCCAGACTCTGCCGGAGGATGGAATGGGGTGGAGTCTGGGGACTGCTGTTCAGGGCCAGGGACTCAGAGCAGGCACTTGGTGAACGGATGACACGTAAATGTCAACGGGACCACAGATTAGGAGATTTCTGTGTGTGGTTTTGTTACTGTTATTTCAGAAAGGGGTGTTTGCATGTGTGTGTGTGTGCAGGGCTATTGAAAATAGGGTTGTCAGATAAAATACCAGATGCCCAATTTGGAAGACATACTAAAACATTATTCGTTGTTTACCTGGATTCACATGTAGCAGGGTATCCTTTGTATTGATGTATTTTGATTTTTGCTAAACCTGGAAACTCTAATGAGAAGAGCATTGGCTCAGGAGTCCGGGGTGTGGACTCTTCACTCTCTAAATCCACCCAGGCTGTGCTGAGGGGGCAGCCCCCCGGCCCACTGGATGAGTCCCCCTCATTCACAGCCCACTCAGTTTGAGGTGTTCCTATTGCCAGTCAAAGCCGCCTCCAGAAACCCCAAGGGGTCTGCCTTGGGTTTCCCCACCCCTGCTATCAGCCCTGGTGCAGACCTAGCCTCCATCTCCTGCAGAGGCCCCGTGGCCTCCCTGCCTCCCCACTCCCAATTCCAACTTCATCCAGAAGCTAGAGGGTGTTTTCCATCCTGCAGCCTGCCCGTGTCCTCCCCTGCGGAAGCCCTTCCACGGCACCCCCTCTTCATTGCCACACTCCCCACTGGAACTGGAAAGGCTCAGGGTCTGGCTTGTGTCCCCCTCTCCAGCTGTGTCTTACCACTCCTTCCCCCATCCTCCTCGGTGCTGCCACACTGAACAGCTTTCAGTTCCCTGAACAGGTTCTTTCTCATCTCTGGGCTGTTCTCTGTCTGGAAGGTTCTCCTGTGCGTCTCGTTTGTGGAGTGATGGCGACACATCCTTCAAGTCTCAGCCTTGCACATCCTCATTCCCCTCAGTCCAGACTGGGAAGTGGTCCCTGACCTGCAAATCTAGGGTGAAGCCTCCTTTCAGCCCCACCACCCCCGCCCTCCCCCTCTGACAGATGTTCTTTCTCTGTGTTATGACTGTCCCTGTCTGTCTCAGCTGCCAGACCGAGAGCATTTTGGAGACAGGTGCTGTGTCTCATTGACTCATTCATTCACCCATCACGTAATTGTTAAACACTTGTTATATTCTAGGCACTGCACTAGTTGCTGAGGATATATAAATGAACAAGTCATCACATTCTTGTGGGGAAGGAATGTCTTACACTGAACAGTTTAACAAAGAGACAGACAGGACAGGTGGTGACAAGTGCTGAGAAGAAAAATTAAGGAGGGTGAGGGAATAGAGTGGCCAAGAGCCTGGGTTTCAACAGAAGGAGCTGGGGAATGAACCCAGGGGCGCTGGAGCTGGGGGCATGGGAGAGTATCAGAGAGCTGGCATGAACTGGCTTATTGTCTGGAGGGGAGGGCTGGTTCCGAAGCCAGTCTTATAGCAATTTTTTCCATTTGGTGATAGTGACTTTGGAAGAGCTAGGGGTGGGGAAGATGAGAAGTTGAATCTCCTCTGAGATACAACTCTCTGAGGGGACTGAGGTGGTCCTGGGTTGGGGTGCGCCCTGCTACTGGCAAGAGAGAAGCAAACTCAATATGGAGGAAAGCTTCCCTTGGTTAGGCCAGGAGGGTGCCCAGAGTGAGATCAGGCAATGGGCTTCAATACCAAACTTACCAAATCACAAGAAAGTAAGCCACCGAGTGAGAGTCAGCAGAAAAGAAGGAAGTAACAGATTTAGACCCCAGGGATGGAATACAGAATAGCCATACATGACATGTTTAAAGAAACACAAGATGCAATCGCAAACTTGAGCATATAAATGAACAGGAATGAAGAGAGAGAAATATTTGGGGGGAAAAAAAGGAACTTCAAGAAATAAAATATTATCTCAAGTTGGATATGGTATCTCATGCCTTTAATCCTAGTGACTCAAGAAGCTGAGGCGGGAGGATCACTTGAGGCCAGAAGTTTCAGACCACCCTGGGCAACATAGCAAGACCCCTGTCCTATAAAAAAAAAGCCAGGCATGGTGGGGGCACACCTGTAGTTCTAGTTACTTGGGAGACTGAGGCAGGAGGATTGCTTGAGCCCAGGTGTTTGAGGCTGCAGTGAGCTATAATCACTCCACTGCACTCAAGCCTGAGTGACAGAACAAGACCTTGTCTCTACTAAAAAAAAATAAAAATAAAAAATACCTCAAAATCTAAAATTCAACTAACAGTAAACAGTTGAATAGAGAGTTAATTAGCCCAGCATGGTGGCATGTGCCTATAGTCCCAGCTACTCAGGAAGCTACTCAGGTGGGAGGATGGTTCGAGCCTGGGAGGCAGAGGTTGTAGTGAGCCGAGATTGTGCCACTGCACTCCAACCTGGGCAATAGGGCCAGATCTTGTTTTAACAACAACAGCAACAACAAAAACAAACAAACAAGAGAGAATTAGTAAGCCTGGAGTTATATACATAAAGCATGCAACAGAGATAAGAAGATGGATAACATGAAAAGAGCTTAAGAGATACAGAGAATAAGAATGAGAAGATCTTATAAGAGTCCCAAAAGAAGAAAATAAAGGGAGCGGGAAAGAGGCGGTATTTGAAGACGAAATGGCTGCACGTTTTCCAGAGCGATGAAAAAACAGTCTCAGAAGCAGGAAACACGAAGTATCTCAAGCATAATACATAAATCCATGCTTATACACATTTTATTGAAACTACAGGATGTCGGAGAGAAACGATGAAAGCAGGCAGAGAGAAAGGACAGATTGCCTATCAAGGACAACAGAACGTGAGCTGGCTTCTCAACCACCGTGACAAAAGCTAGGAGGTGAGAGTACTAGTTTTAAAGTGATGACAGCAAATAAATGTCCACTTAGAAGTGTGTCCAGCAGGGGCCAGGTGCTGTGGCTCACGTCTGTAATCCTAGCACTTTGGGAGGCCGAAGTGGGCAGATACCTGAGGTCAGGAGTTCGAGACCAGCCTGGCCAACATGACGAAACCTCATCTTTACTAAAAATACAAAAGTAGCCAGGTGTGGCGGTGCATGCCTGTAATCCCAGCTACTTGGGAGGCTGAGGCAGGAGAATCACTTGAACCCGGGAGGTGGAGGTTGCAGTGAGCCAAGATTGTGCCACTGCACTCTAGCCTGGGTGACAAGAGCGAAACTCCATCTAAAAAAAAAAAAAAAAAAAAAAAAAAAAAAAAAATGCGTCCAGCAAAACTGTTACTGGTGGAAGATATCCAAGTTACTGTTAGTGAATCCGTTTGGATCTGCAGTAACCTCTTGCCTCCTCAGAAGAAAGAATTTGACTGAGGGGTATAAGGCAAAAGGAGAGACTGAGCGAAGTTCAGAGCAGGAGTCAAAGTTTATTGAAAAGCTTTAGGGCTGGGCGCAGTGTTTCACACCTGTAATCCCAGCACTTTGGGAGGCCGAGGCGGACGGATCACTTGAGGTCAGGAATTTGAGACCCCCCTGGCTAACATGTTGAAACCATGTCTCTACTAAAAACATAAAAATTAGCTGGGCCTGGTGGTGGGTGCCTGTAATCCCAGCTACTCAAGAGGCTGAGGCACGAGAATTGCTTGAACCCAGGAGGCAGAGGTTGCAGTGGCCTGGGCAACACAGTGAGACTCCGTCTCAAACAAAACAAAACAAAACAAAAGAAGGCCAAGCGGTTGACCTGAGAAACCGAGTGCACAGCTTGGCCTCTTGACTTGGGGTTTGATACCTTGGCATACGTCCAGGATCTTGAAAGTAAGCTGCTTCCCACTCCTGAGATCTTACTGGGAAGCTGCTGATCGCTTGCAGGTGTTTTCTATTAGGAGACTGCCTTTCCCCCGTACTGGCTGTGACCAATTACTTTACAGAAACAGTTAACAACCAACTGACCACCGCCTGATGGTCACCCAACACTCCTAGTGTGTGTGTGTGTGTGTGTGTGTGTGTGTGTGTGTGTGTGTTGGGGGAAAGTCCTTTCCTGCCCTGCTCATACCTAACTAGTTACCCACTGTAATAAAACTACCATTCAAGAACCAAGACAAAAAGGAAAAAAAAATACATATAACATATACAGGTAAATAAAAGCTGAGAATG